TCCGGAGCTAAGCCCTAGTGCTATTAACCACACATATGAGCTGTCCAATCCACAAAAGATAGGCATTCCAGGGTCAGATAAGTGGCACACAAAGGTCTTACTTACCAATTTACTGTATAAAGTATACATACACACAGATATATAAGTACAATAGTTGAAGAGGTTGTTACTGATGTTAGGATATTCAATGGACTGGTTATTCTGAAGAAGTTTCACTAGCTTACCTTCAAACAAATATAAGTGTTATGTAATGCCGGGTTACGGAGCAAGGAAGCAGGGACAGAACTCCAAGTGTCGGGCAAATACGGGGTTTAATCAAAGGCAGGACACGATCAGAAGACAACTACACCATAAATAACGTCAATGACCGGACTGGGGAAACATACTCGAACGCGGACTTAAATATACAGGACTAATTAATAATAACGAGACACAGCTGGTAACAAGGGGATTGCACACGAGGTAGCAAGGGGGCGTGGCACACAGGAGGATTGGATGAGCAGGACATGACAATAAGCACACAAATATCAAATAGAATATTATGCATTTTGCATGAATCAACACTGTAGTAATGAAAGCAAAGTAGGAGAATCACAATAATGGGGAGAGACTGTATACAAGCTTCTGAAATGGTCACTCTGTGAGAGCTGAAGGAGAGCCACAATAGATATGTACTGAAAAGATGTGTACCAAATGAAAAGTATTTATGTCCTGTGTGATTTCCAGCATTTTGCACATTTTACATGCTGGATTTGGTAGCATCTTTTTGTGGGTTAAACAGAGAGAGCCTAAGACAAAAAAATAGTTAACTTCCTCTTTGTTTTGTTATAGAGGTAATTTAACAAACTATCTCCTGGTATAATAAGGTTACCCCACAGCCAACTCCTTGTTAACTCCATTAGTGTCAGGCTTGATTTGGGACAGCATAAGCCTGACTGTGTTTGGCCATTTCCATTAACGTAAAGTCTCAACATATGTTTTCCAGAGGCACTGCACATTATCAGGAGAAGAAATTATTGAAGGTACTTGGGGAAAAATAAAAGTTGTTGATGAAGAAAGGATTTGTAGCTATTCACATGATCCAAATCAAGAAGACTTGGCATAGCTGTTCTAGAAATGACTGCATTGTCAAAATTCCACTATGTCATAAACAAGTCACAAAGCACCCCAAAACCACGTCCATAGATTTCAGGGGCTCTTTCTTTACTAGGTCAGAGTCTGTCACTGTATTATCAGGAAGTCATGAGAAAAATAGGGCACAAGGAATAACCACAACTTACCAAGAAGAATCTAAATACCAAAGCATCCCATGTTCTGAAACTATTTTCTATGGACAGTCAATCAAACGACTCAGCCTAGGCAACTTGAGTTTGCAGTCTTGCATGAAGACCTTGCCGCCATTGTACCAGAATTCTCCTGCACGACTGAGACCTAAGAGCCAAAATTCCTATTTGATGCCGTGTGACACCTATCGATAAGCAAAGGGAGCATTTGATTGGAGTCAGTACAGCCAAAGGTAGTTTAAGTATGTCTTCAGTGGAGGAGGGTGGTCACTTTATCACATGGGGGGACTGCAGATTGCTGGAGATCAGACATACCTGGAGTATGCTATTAGGCATCTTATAATTTTAAGGGTGTAGATTTGACAAATTAACTGGTCTTTGTAATGGCGTGTTGCAGAGGATATAGGACACATTTGACATCCTACTTAAGGACTCTAATGATCATGTCACCACTTTCCTGCTCAAAATCAACGGCTTAAAGCCAGCGTAAAAGCAGGGTGAAGCAGAGTGAAGCAGGGACTGCTTTCATGAAATTCACTCATTTACGCGTATTGGGAAAATAAAAAAATTCATCTTTTTGAAAACCAGCAATTTCTTAGGATTTAGCACTATTCATGACATAAACAAAAGAAAGAAAGGCATAATCAAATTAAGAACTAATACAGACGCTCCCCAGGTAACGATGGGGTTATGTTCTGATCAACCTATCATAAGGCAGAAATATCACAAAGTGAAATGCATTTTAATACTCTACACCTAACCTAACAAACATCATAGTCTAGCCTAGTCTACCTCAAACATACTTAGAACACTTACATTAGCCTACAAGTGGGCAAAATCATTAACACAAGGCCTATTTTATAATAAAGTGTTGAATATTTCATGCAATTAATTGAATAATGTACTGAAAGTAAAACATAGAATGGAATTGGAATACTCATCGTAAAACCAAAATATCATAACGAGGAGCATCATAACCCAGACAGCGTCTGTACTGAAAAAATGACAAACAGCTAAATGTCACAACAACAGACAGAAATGAAGACAATCGAGCTTTGTTAAGTAGATGCTGGGCACAGCACATGGTCCCTGACAGAATGGCACACCCAATACCACTCACACCCCGTGGCCAGGCTCTCTGCATGCTAGTCATACGCCCTTCAGTTACAACAGTGACAAGAGGAACAACTAATGACCAAGGTAAGGGACTATACTAGACTGAGCAATTAGCAACGATGATCAAGACATAGAGCTAAACCAGAGAAATGTCAGAACCATTCCAATCAGTCCAAGTCACAGAACTAGACTGGAGAACTGAAAGATCAGACAGAGATTAGTGTCAGGAAGCCAGAAAGTCACAGCAAGAAATAGAATGGTAAGACTGAATAGGTAGACCCAAAACTCAAGACATCGACCAGGCAGAACTTAAAGACACTGAGTGCAGGTTCGGGTAATTATGCCCTGACATCCTCTGGAAGTGGATTTGCCTGTGAGGACCCTCTAGCAGCTACGTGATTAAGAACTGTTTGTGACGCCATGTCATAAAAAACAAGCTAAATCTTAGACTCATCAAAATAACCACCTTTCTTTTAATTTTTCGACCCAAAAATTGCTGGGGAAAGACCCACAAATGATCTGTGCCGGTTAGCTGTGTAGTTGTGACTCATCGATCCATTTCATTCCACAATTCATACCACATCCACAGCTTGATGGGGTTACGGTCAAGTGCAGGCCGTGTCATCATTTTCAACTTTCCTTCATCTTCATATAGTTTTTACAAGATGTTCACAATCAGTGCCTTGCTTGAATTTTACCCAAAAAAATGTTTAAAAATGTGTTTAAAAATGTCCCACTGGCAGGGTATAATGTAAAGACCAGTATGAGATTACTAAACCTATTGCTGAACTGTTTATGTCTTACACTATGTATTCAGCTTGATCTATAGTGTCACATGAAGGCAAGAAGAATTGTATGCTCTTCCTGTTAGAGTTAAGTCTGAAGCAGACAGGTTTGTTTTCAGGTGTGATCGTTACCGAGACATGTTTCTGCTCCTGTTTGCGATGATGCAATGGCAGGAACTACTAGCTCCTAGCTAGAGTGCATCATCAAGGCTCTTCTGCCGTGGCTGCCGAACGGGCGTCAGGCGGATACTGACCTTTGCCGGCTGTCATCATTAGTGATCAAAGTCGAGCAAACGCGCCCTCTGAATGCCTGCGGCTGTGCCGTAATTGGAATCAAGGATGCGTGCTGGAGAGATCCATTGCCTAAAACAGCCTTGAATCCTGCGATTATTTGTTATTGTTTGACTTGTGTGTAGGAGGCCTGCAAACTTCATTTAAGTTGAGCAATATTACCGACCGGTCTGGGCTCAGTCGTGTCTTAATGCCCATTCTGGGTATAAAGTGGAGTCTGCAGTAAATTGACAACGGAATTATTGTCCGTCTTGTAGATTCTTACCGATCATCTTGGAAAAGCCGGAATGTGGATCCACAAGGTGGGAGAGAAATCAAGACAATGCCGTGGGTTTTTCCCCCCTGCCTCCAAAATTCATAATAGAAAAGTATATAATAGTAATACATGTAATGGGGCGGTTCATTGAATGTGTCGGGACCACCAGTGAGCCCACTGCACCGCTGCACTTTAAGGTGTTTAACTATCCCTCCCTGACATTTCAGGAGTCCCAGTGAAGCCTCCTGCCAGGAAGACAGAGGCAGCAGAAATGTCAGGATTGCTCATTACTGTACTGAAAGCGCCTTCCCCTCTTAGTGCTCTTACAGAGAGGGTGTTTCCCCTGAGGGGCACGCCTACAGGTATGCTTCAGAAACGCAACGGCGGCGGCGCTGAAACATCCTCGCATTCGTTGAACGCAGTTTCTGTAAGCTAAACCCGTGTTTGCCATACTTCTCATTTTTCACCCCCCTCTTCCTGCAGCCAGTGACATCTGACATCAGTGCTGTTTGCTGGAAGACAGTCTGAGGCAGAGGAAGAGCAAAGTGCAGCTCTGTGGTGGGGTTAACCTGGGCATCCTCTGTTCTCATGTCAAACAACCCCCCCCCCCCATGGGTTTCTATTGCCCCAAGGATACAAAATTAACACTCATTTACACAACAGAATTGCATGAAGCTCCAGGTCTTATTCCCTTTGCCTTTACCAAAAGAAGGACTTTGCTAAGTCTTGGGAATAGGCAATTATTTTTAGGCCTTCAATGACAGTTACACATAGTTCTGCTATTTGAGGAACAGCTGGGTGAACCTCAACAAGACTGCAAGGCTGGAGATGGCTCCCCTCCGCCCAGCTGACAGGTATGTGGCCTCATATGCAGAATGGACCTTGACAGATATATTGCTAATGGTTTTGTCACAACTGACAACTGCAGGAGAATGGAAATGGCATAATTCTGCAACGACCCACGTCACAAAAAATACTGTTGATTGGTGTCAGACAGCGACAGCATGATAATCAAGGCAAAAACTGGAAATTCCCTGTTTCTAGGTCAACAGATTAATTCGAAAAATACCTTCGGGAATACATCTCAATCGGAGATGCTGACTTCAGTTTTAGGTTTGTGATCATATCGAAAATATTCCCACGAGGTGAATTAGCACATCAGGAAAAGTCCACAAGAATGACCACCTTCTTCAGTGCTAATATGTCAATGTAACATGCAGTCTGTGAGCATCATAAGGGCCGTCATGTCAGGCTGAATGGGAAACTCACCTCGCGATCTAGGCCAGCAGCTACAGTGATGATGTCGCCCGTCTCGCTGTTGATGGTGAACATGTTGGGGATGGGGCTGTGGGGAGACTGGGACAGGATGCGGTAGCGCACCATCCCGTTGCCCGTGGTGTCGTCGTCTGCATCGTGGGCTGTAACTTTCATCACATAGGAGCCTGATGAAGAAGAACCACACCAGCTGTAATGCACGCGAGAACTTGCGTAGGCACACAAAGACACACAGATCTCATGGAGAACCTTCAAGCCATTTTCATAATTATAACAGACCACCTTGTGCTCTGGCGACAACCTTCTGCTGCTTGGTCACATGATGGAGCAATTTGCATAAACATGGGGGGAAATTCACAGATCTCAGATACTGTTTGCAACCATCTTGTCGTGTTATTTCCTACAAATACCGAATATCAAAAATCTTTGACAGCAGTACATTCAAACATTTTAACACTTGGCATAACATTCATTAGATTCAGAATACAAAAGCCGCCATTAAGAAAGCTATTGGATTATGATGTTGATGACACATTGTCTTGTACTGTAATGCACTGTAATTTGGAATAAGATGTTGCCGACTGACAGATGTGAGTGTTTTTTAAGAATAGATGTAGATGAAACTTGAAGCGAGGCTTTGGTTTGGAGACCTCTCTGACTGACTATATTTAGATTTCAGAAGTAGCTAGCCATCTTGCTTGCTAAAACACCTTTACACTGCGACAACAATCGCACGTTGTGCTTAATTCTCACAAGGTTAGCGCATTGTATTATTAGAGAAGTTTTCTGAGGATGAAATCTTCAATTATAAAAATATGAAATACACCAAGATATAATAGAACTTGAAGCGCAGCAATATTCCACAATATTATGTGACCTCATAACTGTTGACCACAGTAGTTTCACGAATCACAAAAGCATCAGTCAGCAGAATATAATAAATACATCAGCAATTGACTGCAGTCTAAACAAATGATCAAAAGCTGCTCAAGAATTTAAAATGTATAAATTTCATCATTCTTCCATGCATTCTTCCTCCTCAACCATCCAAAGTCGTCACACGGTTCGAGGCATCTGGCTGGAGAATGAGATCCACCTCTCCCCATTTCGGGAAGATGCCACTCTTCATCACCTCTGCATCCGGCCATCTGTAGCAGCTGTGGTTCATGTTCCATCAACCCGGACATGTGACGACACGGCCGACTCGCATGGCCCGTCCAACTGCCCCCTAATTGCATGCGAAAGCGCCGTAATTTCTGTGACGGCTTGTACTGCAGGATAATTGCAACAGCAACTTCCATTTCAAACATCATTAAATTTCAAAGCAAGGTTTGTCACTCGCTTTGAAAGAAGGGGGAAAAAAGAAAAAGGAAACTGCACTGGACTTTGGGATCCCATGACCAATGTTGCTGCCTCTCCAGTGCAATATCATAACGAGTGATGCAACGTGTCAATGTCAATCTGTATCCAACATCTCAGCATTCTAGTCATAACAGGCTTAATTGTCTGTTCTTTGTTTGGGCAGGTGAGAAAGACTTGTGCTGTGCCCTTAAAATACTATTTAATTTGAAAAGCTTTATAATTGGCTTTGGACTGAAACATCTGGAGCACCAAATTTACACTTTTATTACATACATGGCGTGTGCACAGTCATTGGAAGCCCTGGGATAATTTCCAGGCCTGACGAGGCACTACTGTCCTCCTTGACAGCCTTTGAATCTTCGGCATCACATGGGAGAGAGCGAAGGCAGCCATGAATTTTTTTTTTTTTTTTTTTGGGGGGGGGGGGGGGGGCGCAATAAAGAGGTACAAACTGCTCCTGTGCATATAGCAAGATTCACACCTCATATACTTTAGAGTTAATCTGTGAGTGAACCTATAAAAGAGAGTCACGGTCTATAAAATGAGTCCGACTCGAAGCGAAATGATAAGGCCTCGTTCTGGCTGAGCTACGTTTAATTTATGACGCCATTTTCCATTTTATTTGTTTTAATTTGATACTTTATGCCGATACACGCAACAGAACAAGCTAAAAAAAAATGTACAGATAAATAAGCAGAAAGCCACTATTAACAGCACACGAGGTTCAGAGAGGCTGTAAAGATGGACAGTTCAATGCTCACAAATACCACAGGCAGTAAAATGTTCTACAGGTTTTATTTCTACATTCGGGAGGTTTTACAATGAGGAAGATAAATAGGACTCGAGGGGACCTTCCTACTCCTGCTGCAGCTGCTCAAAGGATTCCAGCCACCAGGTGTCAGCAGGCGCTACACGTCTGCATCCTCCGCAGAGGTGAATCTGATTGGGCTGCCGGTGTCATGAGGTTTTGCGGCTATGTGTCTCACAGTCAAAAAAACAAATCGATTTCTCAACAAAAAGCAGCTGGAAAACAGCTGTTTTCGTACACTAAAATGATTGATGTGTCCTTCGTTTCCTGTAAGGAAACTTCTCAAAACAATTAAAACCTCTGGTCATACAGTATTCTAAAGTATTCTAAATATGGCATCTCTCTGAGACACCCAGGAAAGTCCCCAGGATGGGGAAAATAACATCCACCTGGTGGTATTTTTAAATTCTGCCTGCTCGTGAGAAGATAATGCAGAATGTACTCATGCTCATGTCTGCAACCCAGATGCCAAGCAGCAATCTATTACTGAACTAGGCCTCTGAGTGATAGATAGAGTGCTTTCTGGTCATGTAGGCATGTTCCTGTGGATGTAAACCGGGAAGAGGGACTGCAGGGGTCCTTGCCCTAACATTAATCCCGGCCCATGTTGCCTTATTTGCCACAATCCCATACTCCAGCAGCAGCCTTAGGCCCTTAGGATAAGATTACAAGTTTCATCTGGAGCTAAGGATGCTCATTTTGCTCGGATAAGCCAAGTAGGGGCAAGATCTGGATACCGACAGGTGTATGAAAAGAAATGTGGTCAGAGGTTACAGGGACAAAACTGACCAGCAGCTGTACTGTGACTAATTTAAAATCTAGAAATTTATTCATATGTTACCCATTGTTCTCCAAGATAGTGATTGTACTACATTTTTGTGATGAGGATGGGATATAAAAGCACAACAAACATGGCCTTTTGAAGGATTATCCTGTGCAGATAATTGTGGAAGATACTGCCAATACCATAAAAATCTGCTTTTATAAATGGTATACTAATACTAATGCTATACTGGTACATTATGCCAATAGAATAATTACTCTGAATTTAATTTGAATTGAATTCACATATCAAAATTCCATTAGCATACATTTCATTAAAGTACAGAAAGAATGCTCTGCTTCTCTTGAAACTCCTTTCCCCACTTTGAAAACAGGCATTGCATAATGAGAAACTGAAATCAAATTTTAATTATTTTACCTGTTGCTAATTAAGGCCATGAACCAGGACTTAAATTAGCCAGTGCATTAAATGACACCAAATACATTTCAGTACAAAGTGGATTGCAAGAAAATAATTGAATTGAAGAAGTAAGGCCCAAGTAGGGTTAAAGCATTAATCAAAATGTAATCTAAATAAATCCAGCAGTAATAACCCTCACTGTAATTGTGAAAGTCTTTCTCGTCCATATACTTGTAATTAACCTATCAACACTCTGTGTGGAAACAATGTATTGTTCCATATTATTATTCTGTGCCTAGAGCAAATAAATCACAAACTGGTGAAGCATAACAATCAGCAACAGAAAACCAACATAGGGAAAAATTCTCGATGCAATATTTTCATGTTTTACACACACACACACACACACACACATGTAGGGTAAACATATCCTTATGGGGACCGCTCATTCATTTCAATGGGAAAAATGCTAATGCTAACTATGACAACCTTAACCCCTACCCTGCCCTAACCATAACCATAAGTAACCAACAAAATACAAGAGTTTTTGCATTTTTTGTTTTTTCTTAGCAGTTACCGATTTTTATAAAATAGGAAACCGGTCCCCATAAGGGAAAAAAAAACGGATATTTATCACGTTATGGGGACATTGTGTCCCCATGAAGATAGGTATACCCGCTCACACACACACACACACACACACACACTTCGAGTAGACATTTCTTTATGGGGACCACTCATTCATTTCTATGGGAAAAATGCTAACGCTAACTATGACAACCATAAGTGACCAAGGAAAATACAAGAGTTTTTGCATGTTTAGTTTTTTTATTGCAGACACAGATTTTTATTAAATTGAGTTACCTTACCATCCTACTGCTGTGTTTGACAATAAAATCAAAGCTTACTAGACTAATGCCTTTAAAAACACAGACGCACAAGAAAGTATAACATTTCTGATGGCTCACTGAGCTTATAAGCATTACCCATGACGCAAGGGAGAGCTTGAATGGGAGTCAGTTTTTCTGCCAGCACTCTTTGCAGTCGCTTTCATATCAAAATCCGCTGCAAACTTACTTTTCTATGAGTCAACAGAAACTGCAGAACACATACGATGTGGGAGGAAACAGTTGCGGGGAAAGCAGATCTGTTCGAAGACTCATCTTCCCATTGAGGGCCTGAACAAGTGTCCAATTAGAGTGTAAACTCCAGCAATGTCCTCCAGTTACGGTTCTGCGAGGGCCAAAACTAGAACAGGAGGGAGCACAGCCAAAGAGCGGTGAAGAAAACATGTATATCAAAGCTCATGCTGGCCCTCCCTTGCCAGACCTAGAGTGGGGTGTGAATAGAGCAGGGTGGGGGCCATTCCAGAATGATCCATTCCAATCCAAATCAGGAAATGGAACTGGAGTTGGGATTGGCAAAAAAAACTACAGGGAACAGAATTGGATTTGCATTCGAACTTCACAATGAATTTAAATTTCAACCCCAGTTTCCTGATTTGGACTGGAATTGATCAATGCATTCTGGAATTGGCCCAACCCTGATGTGCAGGGTGGCGGCAAGAGAGGTAGGATGGGACAAAAAAAAAGTAGATCTCAAGGCTTCTCATTTCTTTGACTTCCACAGCTCCATGTATTGTGTAACACCTCCCTGGTTCCAATTTTTTAGTCCAGAGATTTGCTGGAGTACCTTGTGGTGCCAGTATTTTTAAAAACAGCCCCTAGCTCTAGCTAGAGTGGTGGTAATGCTATGCTCTGAGAAGGCTGCAGCTTCCTGAAAGGCCACCCTAAATCATCCTCAGTGGGAAGGTTATAAATGATGCAGCTGCCCTGCCCAAGGCCTACAGTCCAGCCCCTGCCATGCATGCTCAGGAAATCCTGACACCCGCACATTACAGCCTCTTTAACCCCGTTTCCTACTCATTAAGCCCAATGAATGTGAAGCGTGCAGCAGGTCTTTATTCAGTGGCCATATTCATCAGCTCACCTGCTGGTCCTTGGCCAGACCCCAAATTCACACCGCGCTCCATCCACAGCAGACGCCACAATCTGGCAGCTTTTACAGAGCTTTCTGCAATCTCATCTCTGACTCACACGTCTGTGTTTTAGGCATAACGGTCCCCTGGACTTCAAAATCACACATTTGAATTGGTTTTTCAGAGACACTCATTGCTGAAGTAGAAATTAATCTTTCACTGCTGTTACTCATTCAGTCTGCCAATAAAACACCTGCTTCAAATGCTTTTCACCACCAAAAAGCAAAAAACGCCTCTTGGACACATTACAACCACCATAATCACCACTGTTGTCTGTTAATGGACACCATGTTAATGGATGTTCTATATGTAAGTGTGGTCTCATGTAGTCGGCAAATTCTCAATACCTGGTTTGGATCCCTCGTCCACTGATCCGTTGTAGACCTGGTTGCGGAACTCTGGGCGGTTGTCGTTCATGTCAATGACGTAGATGTAGAGGTCAATGGGGTTCTCCACCTTGTTGCCGTTCATGTCTACTGCATGTGCTCTAAGCTGTGAATGAAGAGCAGTAACATTAGCATATCAGGCAATAGGGTATAGGGCCAGTGGAGCCAAATTCTGCCATTTTTCCCCATTCTCGCTAGTGTTGACCAGGGGAGCATTTTGTCCTCAAACGGTTCTGCAATTTTAGACCTAAATCCAATGTAAAATCCATCATTCAATGTAATATAGTGAGAGTGATGAATGATACCACAGCCAACATACTCCAGACCTGTCTCATTGAAAAGTCTGTCAAAGTAGCTAGTCTAAGAAGAACAATGTCAAAGGGTTGAGAGCACGACTTGGGCACTCCTCTGTGGATGGTTTCTCATGCTCTCTCATCTGTTTGTGAATTTAGAAAACTAAGTATGGTTACTTATCATATTTATGGCATACGTATCCAGCGTCAACAGAACTTCTCAGCTCATACAATTCCTTATGTTTCTGGCTTTCTCTCAGCCATTGGGAGTAGCCACCATACAAAAACTGATTAATTTGGTCTTGGAGGGCTATGCTGTATTATACAAAGAGCAGAGCAGAAAGAGAATGAGTTGCAGTTGCATGGCATTCAAACCTCCAGAGCTGCATGTTAATCTTTAGGGTGGTCATCATTGAGACCTGCACATTGTGTTGTTTCACTCCTTTCTCTCCTTCTGTCTCAGCACAAGGGGACATAGGACTTGCTTTTCAGTTACTTTCCACTGATTTCCCACAAAACAAATCTGCAGATATGCTTTAACACAATAGAATTTCCACATCAAAACCAAACAAAAACTTAATAAGTTTTCCACCCTGAATTTTGTAAGAAAGTATAACTATATTCCTGGAAAGTGATTGATGATGTGAGTTGTAAATAAGCACCACAAGATCGCTTACATAAAGAGGAATAATCAGTACATAAATCCAAAGGGGCCTGCACCTCAGTAATGGGCCCCAAAGATTTGATTGTGCTCATGGGAGTTTTACTCACGCAAAAATGTTCTGAGGGCAGAAGGAGATAACCAATCAGTTTGTAGAGGAGGTGGGTCCAAGCAACTAGAAAAGGCAGGACCAAGGCATCTGATTGGCTGACCCCCACCGCCTCTACAATCTGATTGGTTCTCTGTATGAACCACTCATTTTTCCTTCAGCCCTCAGGACATTTTTGTGTAAGTAAAACTCCCACGAGCTTTAATTGTTGGGTTTTGGATCAGTCAGACAGCATCCAGGGCCGCTGCGGCCTAAGCCATGCTTAATGGAATGCACACAGACAAGCTGGGCCATGAAAGCACGACTGCACAAGGGGCCCCTCCCTGTGCAGTTCCACTGGCAGCCAGTGTTGCACCCCCCACTCTGGTCTACCCTCCCCTTTATGGTCTAAATGGGACTCAAACCCTTGAGCCAAAGAAAACTCTACCCCTACATGAATCCTGTAGGGACTGTGGCAATATAAATGTGTTTGATGCATGTATAATATAGCAAAATTTTCTGGGTTTGTCAAAAAAGCTAAACAGAAAGAATGAACTGGTTACCAAACGACAACTGCTTACTTCAGTTTTCACTAAACTGAACACAAAAGAGTTTAATTGCACACTAGTGGGAGCTCATACAACCAGCAATCTTACAGAATATTAATACTCTACTCAAATTTTTATGTTATCCACAAAACACCTGAGAAGAACCTGAGAAAATCCATGCGAGGTGGAGCGAATGTGTAAAATCCCCAAAGACAGTAGCAGAGGAAGCATCCAAACTCGCAAAACTTGAGGTGTGAAGCAACATTACTACACTGAACCAATGTGTAATATCAAGGTCTCTCTTTGACCACTGCTTAGGATGCTAGGAAACGCAAACTTGGTGGTATTGATGTGGCAGTGAAGAGAATCCTCAACAAAATCCATAAACATGTAAACATGTGAGCAGGCTCTGGGACAGAAAGAGATATAAGGACATGGTGTCCATTCCCAGAAAGACAAAGGGTGTCTCACTTTGAGGAAGCATTTTTTTTTTTAATACTTTATTAATTCCCATGGGGAAATTGTCTTTACACCTTCCTCAACTTGCTCTTATGTGGAAGATGCTTCGAGGAAGCATTGTACATTTTCACATTATGCCTTTCATATCAAGCCACTGTCACATAATATCTAATAACTGGATCTCAGCTAAGAATTAAAGGTCATTAATAGAAGCAAGTGTGATCCTTCAACTCAAAGCCTTTAATATGTGCTTGGGACCACTGGACATGTTATAGCTTTGGTCATGCCAGGCAGTTCAGGAGCATTTGCCAGGTCACTTTGACAATCTTAAAAAAATAATCCCACATGTTTGCCAGAGCTGTAACCTTGCAGAGAAAATAAGGGAATTATTTCAATTCACTTCTTCACAGCTGATGTCTATCCACCCCATTTTTCCTGCGCAAAAATTGCATCGGTAGGTCTCCCAGAGGTTAATTTGACTTTACTTTCTTCCTGCACATTGTTTGATCTTGTGGTGCACCCAATATCCGTGCGCAGACGACTGCGATGAATGCTCTTGACTGGTGGCAGAGAAGTTATCACTCCTGCTGTTGGATCTAGTAATTCAATGACATTAGAAGTCAAAGATTACTGCAGTGTTTAAAGAAGAGAAAATGTAATTCTGCGTTGGAATTAAAGTTATTATCTCCAAAAGGATGAGACGCCGGTCACCGCTGACTTGGCATACGTCAAGCCAGACATCTGATGAAGATAAATGAACAGCCTGGCAATGTCTGGGGGTGTCTGATTGGGAAGCCTGTTATCTTTCCTCATGGATCCCTACTCACCTTGGTCATTTCAAAAACAATACAACATAAAAGTTTCAAAAGAATACTTTAGAATGTGTCACTCTGCACAGGAAGAATAAATACCACAAAACTAACTTGAAGTAAAATTACTATTCTCATGTACGTTTCAATGTGTTCAGAGTAACAGAATGTAGAGTAAAACTGAATTCCTAAAATAAAGGGTAATTTTGACAAATATCACATCATTTGCAAGGATAAAACCAGAAAATTATGTCTATGAATGAAGTGCCCGGCTTCGTTGAAACCTGATCGAAATTCAGAGCACATTGCGTGTGCCTGGACTCCGGCGTGCTCTCCCACAGCTCACTGACTCGTCTCTGCCGCTCGCTTTCACACACACAAACACTGCACATCCCCTCGCTTAATTATACACGGGAGGATAGGCCTCCGAGAAAACAAACAAACAAACACAAATCTATCCACTTCCTCCGCCGTGGTGCTGTGGCCGAGCGTATCCTGTAGAGACGGGACCAGATTTAAAAAGTTTGATCGGCGCTGCAGATCCGTGGATCGCAAATGCCCGGCTTTCTGCCATCAACACGTCGGGCGGCGCACCAAGATATCACAGGCCTGAAAAATCCACTGAATTCTGGGTAACTTGCTTTAGACCCTGCATCTGAATAGTCTGCTTCTGAATTGTTCTATTAAAGTTGTGTTATGGGCTGGGATTGACATAACTGGTACACAAGTACACGTTCACCTTTAAAAACGATACATGCGGCAATCGATTGTTGTAACACCGTGAATGCGTACATATTTCATGTGCATTCGTGCCGATATGGCAAGGAATTAACGTACGTTTTAACCTCTATACCGCAAAAGAAGTATGAATTAGCATATAAGGGTTATCAAGTGGAAACCAGGGGCCGCTATGTCCTGAGAGCATCAATGACCACTCCCTGCCTGTCATCTGCTTCGATGAACCATGGAAAGCGATCTAGAAATGCACAAACCAGAAATAACGGACAAATTAAAAGAAAGAGTGAGGCCCCTGATGTTGAGACTAATTGTGGGGTTGTAAAATTTGATTAAGTGTTTTAGAAAAATCAGCGCACTAAATTTCACTTAACTTGTACAGAATAGCTGGTCGCTGATTCTTTATCATAGCCTAATAATATTTTAGGAGGAGCAGGGATCAATATCTTTTGTTATGTTATGCTTGGCTATACAAAGATAGGCCGTAGAACAAGCGCTTCCAGAACATGGATAAAAGCCAGACTGAAAGTGGTTGCGTCTGTTTTTTTCTAAATGTAATGCACTTAATGGTTAATAGCCAAAATGATGTAATTTCTTCTTGCAAAGTTCTCTTTCCTTCTGTCACTATCTATAGAACGATACACCGGGGTCTCAGATATATGAGCACCTCATAGGCGCTTGACACTCAAAAATGTCATACTTCAGCCAACCATATACATCAGTCAGTGGGAAATCAATATCCCATTTAGTGAATGTGTAATTCTGCTATTTACTCATTACAGAAACCAGGCGAGTTATACAACGACATTGAATTACAAAGAGCCATTCTGCCAGGCTATCGACGGAAGGCTTTGGGATGGACGCTTACTTCCACAACTTGCTGTCTTTCATCATCATTTGCCGCGTTCATTAATTTTCTTGTTTTGGATGTAATAAATGAATGATGTGTTCATTTCTTCTTCTATACAGGTGCTGCAATGAGTGACGAAAGATGTGGACAGACATTTCATCAGGCGAGACTACAGGCGGACGCAGGATTTTCCTGCAATGACGTCCATGTTTTTTTTTGCTTAGTTTTAAACATAAAAAATAGGATAAAACTGCTGGTCAGCTTGTTAGTACAGACAGTACAGCAGCTTTTTTATACACACAGATGCACAAAACCCACTCTTTAGCAACAGCTGCCATATATTTCTATTGTGTATTACATTTATAATGTATCCCAGGCATAAATTTTTGGTAATACTTTACTTGAGGGGGCACAAGAAACTCAGTTACTACTCAAGTACAAATCAACAAATATAGTAACTGCATGAAACACAGGAACCGTTATGATTTATTAATGAGGAACAAACAAGTGACCAGTACAGTATGTAACTAACACTTAGTTTCTGGTTAATGAATACATTAAGTAAAAGAGTACTACTACTTTATTTGTGCCCCCTCAAGTAGTGTAACCTTTATTCTTTAATTTTTAAATCCCTTACATTCACTCTTTGATTAGTTTTTAAACTTGACACCCGACACTTTTCTCAACTACACACATTCTCATGTTTTCTCATGTTACAAATAAGCAGCTCCTATCAAAATTGACTTTCTTCACCACTGCAGAACCTCTGTCACCACTGCACAGCATTTCAACATATATAGGAATACAGGAAATATAATTCTTTAGATTCGTGACCCCGGGTCTGTGTTTGAGGAGCCGGAGCTTTTCCCCCATGTTTTCTCGTGGGCTTTCATGGGGCTGGCGAGTTTGCTGAGATGGAATGTCTTCCCACCGCTGGTGCTGCCTGAGGCTCCACGTTCACCACGGCCAAATACTGGATAAGCCATTATGGAAGACGGATGGATGCATACATATTGCTATTTTGAAGTTCTGAGGCAGCCCGAGAGTCATAACTGTCAATTGTCTTTTAAAGAATAGTTCTACTTACATGGTAGGATGACCTCTCCTCTCTGTCGAGGGGCTTGGTGACGAACATCTTCCCTGCCACAGGGTCAATGCTGAACACCTCATTGGGCGGCTGGTCAGCACCCACACCTGTGATGCTGTATCGTATCTGGATCTGTCGGTCCTGGTCGGAGCGAATCTGTGCCGAACAGAAAGCTGAGGATGAATGACTTTTCTGGAACTCAGAGACACCCGTGCACACACGCCTGTTGGAATACTACAAAATTGCACAAGGAAGATTAGTGATGCAATTAGTAGCTCTTAAAGGCTTCACAAGACTGTCTTCTTTGATATTGCTGGTATTGCTCTCCAGCCTGGTCCTCACTGGGTTGGGTAGAGATACTTCCGTACAGAGTGGATCATACACAAAACAGATGGATTCAGGAAAAGCTGACAACAACCCCTATTAGAAACATATCTGAGTGAGAAAAACATCTGAGCTGGCAGGTACTCCTCTAAGCACAGACAAAGTGACAGTGCTGACAAGATGTTTACAAGTGATTCTTGAATCAGCTGTCCAGCACAGACAATGATGTGCTTCTAACAACTATCAAGAAGCATGGAAATGTCTCAAAGGCCACTCCCCTCTTTCAAACCCAAAGAGATGCAGTCTTTGATTGCAGACTTACGTTAAGGAAAACCAGTCATCAGCAATTCAGGTCACCAGTAGTCCCATGTTGTAAAGCCTTTGCTTTACTACCAGGCTAAAGTTTTCTAATGAGTGAGTCTTTATATCTAAGCAAGCATGAGAAATTCCAGGTTTTATACTTGCTTGATCAGAGTACAATTAGGCTCCTTTTGTCCTTGTTGTGACTATTACCAGGATCTCGGTCTGACTCTGAATCTTGCTTTGCATATAAATGTTGTCTGCAGAGTTGGAATTAATTACCAAGTGTCACAATGGAAGAGACGCCTGACGTTTGCTGATGTAAATATACAATAGTGTATTATTAAAACTTATACTAATATGACTCTCTTGCTCTTTATGAACAATTCTTTCTCTTCCTCCTGATTTCCCCTTTATCTCACAGGTAGGGCATCGGAGTATGGAGAGCTGTTAAGAAATTTGGCCTTGCTGCCAGAGCTAATTTCCTCAGTCCCGCCGCTAAATTTCAACACAGACAAACAGACACAGCTGTCTGCATAGTCCTGGCCCACGGTCTTTAGAGTTCTGACAGTCTGACCTTAGCTCTCTGTCATGCCAAGCAAAGGACATTTCAAGTCTAAGTATTTACAACATTAAGTCCCAAACAGCAGCCAGTGGAACATGAAACTCATGCAAATCCATTAGTAGAGAGCTAGAAAGGCACAGCAAGGTCCAACTCCTGTTTCCTTTCAGACAACACGATCCAAGTATGAGTCTCTTGGCAGGGAAGGGTTCTGAATACCAAAAAAACGGGTCAAGGAAAAGATTGAGGGTCACCTTGAAGACTCTGAGGTCTGTTATGAATGTTCATTCTGCAGTATGTTCGATTAAGGAATTATATATGTAATTCTCCAAATTCTCCATCCTCACGCTTTTTTATTTTCTTTTTAACGCCGTTGCCGCCTGCCTTTCAGTGCAATGAGAGCCTCATGCTGCCGTGAGCGGCGGGGTCATGGGGTGTCAGGCTCAGACAGCCGTACTCTCTCGGTCCCGTGTATTCCTGATTACCGTGCCGTTTATTCACGAGGCAGCCCATTGTGTACGGCAGCAAAGTGGGCCTTTGGGCGCGGAGAAGAACGCTCGCAATTAGATAAACACAGACCCTTATCGTCCTTTTTCAGGGATAACGATGCTCTTGGATTTCACTTAGTGTTACGCAGCCATGCACAGCAAAACACATTAGTGTGAGTGGCCCTGGGACAGTTTAAACGCAGAATTCAATATTTACCTCTTTCAGCATAATAAAAAGGAATGCCAAAATGCACGCAGCTACCGTTTCTCTCTTCTGTAGATGTTCTGATAGGATGAGTTTTTAAATACACTAATCAGAATTACAGTACATGTGCACAAACACAGCATTCTGCCATGGAAACAATGACAGCTTGAGTGCTTTTGATTACATCGTTCATTTACATGTTACGTTTTTTTAGCAGACGATTTTATCCAAAGTGACGCACAAGGGTGGCACATCACATATATCACATTGCGAAAACACGACTGTCGAGGACTTGACTATGCATAAATGCAGCTAGGTTAGATGGTGACTTACGGTATCTCAATGAAGAATCAACAGAATCATGCTAAGCAAGTAAAGAGTAATAGAGGGAATCACATCAAAGCCCGAGCACGATAGAAAAAAAATCAAGCTTCAGAGTTCAGCCTCTCTTTGCTTCATTGTAAACTTCACAATCCTGCCTAATTGACGGCACGCCTCCTGACAACTAGAAAAGGCTCCGTTTCAGTGCGATTGTCGCTTGACCTCATCCGTGGATGAAATGTACGTTTCAACAAGCTCATTGCTGCTCTCCATGCTTATTGGGAAACTAATTGAAGGTCTTCTGGGAGTAGGTAGGAAGAATACATCACAGAGCCAATATTCCTGCACAATTCAATAACAGGAACAAGTGGAATGCTGAATACGACAAGCACCTTTTTAATTTCCCCAGAACTAATACAGAGCAATTTAGTGCATTAAGTGCACCGAAAAGTCTATGTTTTGGATTTGACTGCTGTGTAATTGAGTCTCATTTGAAGAAATCTTTTAATTTAGCCTCAGATGAGACCCCAGCCAGGCCTTTCCTCTCAAGATTCAGCACCATTAGGAAAATGACACGCTGTTTCAGTATCACTCAGGCCCACTTTATCTGGCGGTGAGATTGTTGGATGTAGCTGGCCCTCAAGAAAATTCTGCTACAGTTGTTTGCCCCTCTCTTCGCATTGCACCAAACTGGCTCCGGAATTGTTAGGTAAGAGCCCTGAGCAAGGATGGAAAATTGCAGGAAACACACAAAGTGCTTAGATGTATCAAACATCTCTTACCGAGCCTGTCCCCAAAAACACATTAATGAAATGCTGTGTGTTTGTAATGGCTGCCCACATTTCAGAGTGTCCTTATCTGCTGGTGCCGAGGATGACTGTAGTCAGTCGCACCTACAAGTGTTTGATTACTGTAGCTTCGATGCCTTGTGTTAGATACACATGCAACAAATCTGATACAAGTAAGATAGATGAAAACACCAAAAACTAGCACTCTGGAATTTAGATTTTTTTTTTGCTCTTAATTCACTCCCATACTGGTGAGAAATCACATCCAAGCTCCTCTCATATTGGGTTCTCACTGTTTCCGTACAAATTGTGCACATCATGGCAGAAAGAAAAAACACTGACCCCGCAAAAATATTTTTAAGTCAAAAATTTCCTCCTAGAGTAAATGGTCGGTGTGTGAAGCACCACGATCTTGCACCATATTAACTGCTGACATTTCCGTAAAACAGGAGATGCAGAGATGTTGGAGAAGATGTCCTCAGTACACTTGCATTCAGTCTTTACCTTTGTTAACCACTTCAAGCATGAGTCCACATTTCACACAAATCTCTTTATCTACCAACTAATAAGCAAACAAGCAAACAAACAAATAACAGATGTGTAAACATGTTTAGACTCACTGAGTCGCTTTCCTCTCCTGGGTAATGAAAGAAAGATTGACTTGTTTTGAGCAGTGCTAATAAAGGAAGAAGAAGAAGTTTTTTTTTTTGTCTCCTTGTTATAGAGGAAAAATGGGAGAGAGGCAGGATGTAAGAAACTGTGAAGTCTCTCGGCACAGACCAGACACTGGTTAAATGACCTATTTGTAGTCGGATCAAAGCAATTTCCTTCATTACTGACAACTTGTCAGGTCTTAAGAAGATTTTATCTGTGAGCTTAGCTACCTCTGTGAAGCAAACTGAATCAAATGAGAAATTATCATGGCATTACCTCTCTGGGGGAACGCAGGGCGAAAACAGCGACAGATTCCAATGCAACGCAGCACACAGACCTGGTGCGGAAGCATGAGAGTAAACAACCTACACTCCTTTACTGCTGCATTGCTGTCATGGCGGTAACAGGAGTTTTCCTGGAAAAATTTATACAAGTATGTAAATACATACTATTTTTATCTTAAAATGAATGCCTTAATGTTAACGTCTTGGTAAGATTAACTTAACAAGCGGAAATTCTTACACAGGGCTTAAACCCATGTCCTGTGTATTATCAGTGATACAAACTAACTAGCTTAGCTAACATGCCTGGCAAGTAACTACCCTCACAACTATAACCAGCATGCGGACGTTTCCTTTGCGTAAAATTACCATGATGTGAAATGTGCAAATTATAATGTCTATCTTAATAATAGCTATTTCATATCCTTATACGAGTTTGATAATGAAAGAATGTTTATTGTTTACTTCTGTTGTTAGTATAACCCTACCTGCTAATCACATCTACTGGATTGACATGTTGGCTCAAGTTTCTTTATGCAATTATTGGAAATATTTTGATTGTTGGCACAAAAATGAAAATCAGTAAAAAAGGCTTTATAGCACAACAGAGAAAATGATTATACTGTAATTTATTAGAGCTAGCAAAGGCATTTTGGTATGAGTTTTGTTTTACCGTAAATACACTAATACGCAAGACACTCATTGAATATGGTGCTGCCACTGGCAAGCAAGTGCAGCAGTAGCTTAGCGTCCCCTTTACGGTGTTCAGCTATGCGCTAAGGCTCCTGCTGCAGCAGAAAAGAGGAGTCCATCCTCACCAAGGATCTAGAGCACACTATGCTTGGAGTCATCTAACATCGAGGAATGCTGTTAAACAGAGCAAACAGCCCCCTTCGTAGCTTCAGTTTGAGGCTATGCTATTATGTTTGGCTACAGAGCGTGTGCAAGACATTTTCCACTCCCCTGATCGCCGCACCATTTTTCAGCTGCACCCCACATCGGCATCCTTGCAAAGAAAAGGACACGTTGGTCCTTCCTATATGCTGCGATTTACCTCCACAATGCTGTCATCAATCATTTATTATCTACAAAATGTTGTCCTCTTAGTCCGCCCTACTTGGTTTGAATAAATCTGATTTTCAAAACGATTCAGCCTCTACTTATCCTGAAACATATTAAAATGGTGTGTATCACCGTAGGAAAAAAAAAAGATGCATTTATTCATAGTTTGAC